ACTAATAAATATGGGTAACAGAGAGAGAGAGAGAGAGAGAGAGAGAGAGAGAGAGAGAGAGAGAGAGAATAGGACAGTAGAGCCCCGACGCATATTAAAAGTCTCGCAGACAACACATATAATAATCCACAAAAACTGTAACAAATTAACGAAGATTCAACAGATAATTATATCTACCCTAGTATCCTATCAAAAATACCAATCACCTATCTGTACCTATTGTAATACACCAACCACGATAGAACACCTAGTTCTACTCTACCTAGAACATAAAAGCTATCGCGAATACTTCAAAACTTCAACTTCAACACTAAAGGAGAACGTCGCAGAAGATAAAGTTACCAACTTCGTCAGATACTTACAGGAGACAAAACTATTCACTAGAACAGCATAATACATCATTACGGTCGCTAAAAACCAAGCAGTTGAAGCGACTTTAAATAAAACCTAGAGAAAAATCAAATCTTTTATTTCATATTTATCACAAGCTTGATAAGAACATTTTACAATAGATTTCTATTCAGAGCTGTTCTTCTGGTTCTCCTCTTTTGTTCTCCCTATTACATCTTCCCTTGGTCACTTCATTCACTCACTTCACAGCTACTGCACTTACACTAACACTTCTGCTAGTGTGAAAATTAATACCGTTTTGTTCTCAACGTGAGCCGCGTACATTTCGTTTATATCCGTCTTTTCATGTTAGCCTTCTATCTAGCACACAATGATGGAACGAATTTTATATTTACTCTTCTCTTTCGGAAAATAGAATTTACACTTGCCGTAAATTTATCTATTAGGAAAAGAAGTTTTCGACAGTATTCAGAGCAAGAAATTCGTGGTAATAATAAAATAATAAAATAACCTGGCCACGTTTGGAATGACATTATATCAAATATCATGTTACTTTATTTCATAATTATTTCCGTTCATGTGATCACTTTTGCAATAACGTTATTTAAAATATTCTTTTAAATAACATGTTATTCCATTTTATAGTTATCTTAAATAATTATTCGACGTAATTGTGACATTCTTTCTAGAAATCATATGGTGATCGAGTCTGGTTTATACCGACATGCTCATTGACATTTCTGCAAATAGAAGGATCGAGCTAAATATATTAAATGATTATCCTATAATAAGAAACATCTTCCGTATAAGTCAGTGAAATAATTGTCTTATTTCGCGATTATTTCATTTCAGATGGACCCAGACGAAAATCTCCTAAAGATGATCATCTTGTTACATATTATCTTGAAATAAAAAATAACGAAGCAATTCATTGTTTGAAATTACTATTACGTCGTGCAAATGGATTGGTATTATTTTTATTTTCAATAAAGGACATTATAAAAGTAACAACTTAAAACGAATTATTTCAAATAATTATTTTTTATTTCCATTCCAATATAAAGATTTGCCTTGGTCTGATTTTTTCTAATACGAACGAATGGTAATACTGAAGAAAGAAGAGAAAGAAAGAGAGAGAGAGGGGGGGAGAGACAGTTTAAAACAAATGCTCCAGCATTTCGAAAACGTGCTCCGCCCAGAGATCGGCGGCGCCGTGTTTCGGGCCGTGCGTCGATTTGACTTCCAAATGCAGGCCCGACGCTGCTGGATCACGTTCAGGACACCGGTTTTTCGAGGTAGTCAGTCGCCTGCTAGCAGCCACCGGCAGCGAATCGATGCGACGAGAATTTTAACGCGTCCCGTCCACCCTATTCTTTCGCCAACAACTTTTCCACTCTGCCTCGCATCCGACACTCCTCCCCGTGCAACTTCCTAATAACGCGATAGCTTCGATACCCTGCCTCTTTCTCGCCTATTGTCGCTTTATCGGGACGTTGACAAATGTTTCGTCTCGCCGGCAAGATCGAGGAATAATGCTCGCGACTGCCTGAAGGATGCTAAGAGAGACCGAGACGGGACACAATTCTTGGCGGTTTTTCTTTCCGATACACCAGGAAAAGTCGACGAAATTGCGACGAAACAATGGAGGACCATTTTGCACTCGAAGCGAAAGAGCTGTGGGCTGTTTACGCCTGGTGGTCGTGCGTACTTGTTTTGAAGATGAACTCTTTGTCGTGGTTCACTGGTAGGATCCGAGTAAGCAGACAGGTAAATCTTCTTTGTTCTTACATTGTTTGCTGTTCTTCGCTCAACGCTCCTCTTCTTTCTTGTTGTTCTTGGGAATTTCTTATAGGTTCTCGAACTGCAACTAGACTTCATTTTCGTTGTTAATATTAATGGTACAAGTCAGAAATCGTATGTTTACTTTTTCGAATTAGAGTAAACAAATTGATAGATCTTCCTTCGTTCTTTCGTCGATTGCTGTCCTATTTTATATTTCTTGTGCTTCTTCCTGTTACTATTTCATTGCTTCTTAAAGAATATAATAGTCTCTTATTTATTGTTGAAGATAATGAAACATTCAAGGATAAATAACTAAATCAGCGAAATTATTTTCAATCTGATCAACTTATGGTAGAGTATTTGGCCTCAAAAACTTTGGCCAAAATTAGTTTGTCCGTTTTTGTGAGAATAAAGGCACTTAAGAATGAAATAATGTTATGATTTACTACAATTTTACAAAAAGGATACTCAGGATAAAGCATTTATAAATAAATTGATAAATGTTTGTAAATACGTATTATGATTTTGATATACTATTTTACTTTAATATAAATCTTCTTTTGTGTATTTAGGGATTCAAATGAGATAATCTCAGTCTTCATCGAACTCATTTATATCTGAGTCGACTATCGTGTTCCTATTTGGCTGATGTTATTTCAAAAAACTAATTACGAACGTTTAGAAATTCGTATTGGTACGAATTAGCAGTTAATTCTTTGTGTATAATAAGTAGAAAATCGTATTGATTTTAATGATATCAAAAAAATCCTTGGAACCCGCCTGGAATTATAGTAGTATGCTTTATTAATTATTTGAAGTGTAATATAATTTACTGATTTATTGGTAATTCTTCAACATCACTAATCTCTGCACATAGATAACGTAGTGTCAACTGGCAAATATCAACTAAAAAAATTCCGACGATATCAAAATTATTTAATTAATGAAATCGAAACTGGTAAGTTCAAATTTAACATACGAAATATTAGTTAACTCTTTTGTGTTCTAAAAATCGTAGTAACATTCAGTTCGTTCGATAGATTAGAATAAAAATGAATTTCAAGATTTAGACAAAAATTAGTGTTACCGATATGAGCTTCTTAGTTGACAAATGGCGCAAGTTTCGTTTCTTAGTATGTACTGTGACAATTGAACATTTGTGTAATACTTCATAAAAATTAAGAACAGTAAGTAGCTTTACTGTAAGAAAATAAAGTGAAAGAATAGTAATTATGGTAACGTAATTTAACTTACGTCATACGATAATTAATTAATATTTTCACATTCCCAATAGACGCAGTACATTATTACATTAAATATCTCATTTATTACATCGACATTGAACATACTCATTCGTTGCTGAAATCCTTATCACATTATTAATCCTTATTATATTTGTAATGCTTTCTAATACTTGAAAAAAAGTATGACGAAATGACGGAATTTTCAACAAATCCAGCGTGTCCTTCTTTATAGTCACAGAAACAGAAATTTAATTTTGATTGGTTATTAAACAGCTATACTTAATACTAACTATTTCTATAATCGATTCACTTTTTCCTAATTTTGGAGTTACGCCATTTGTCGTGTAAGGGGCTTGTATCTGACCGATAAAACGCCGAAAGTATTAATGAGTGAACGTTATTCCAAAAACTAGTTAAGAGAGGAGTATAGAGAAAGAGCATAAAATAAAAGAAAACATATTGAAATACTATTTTCAATAGATTCAACAATCTCAGAAAGCACAAATTTTACATTTTACACAAGATTTTTCGAATCGACTTTTGGCGAATTTTTGAGACCAGATATTCCATTGCTTAATGTAACGAAACGATTTCTAGCGTCACCCGATCCCGTCATTTTTTCGAATGAGATGAATCGCAGGCCGGTAGATTCCCGGTCAGTTAATTGGATCGCTTCATTCGGATCGATTTTCCAGGTAATTCACAGCGAGGAGGATAGGATGTGGATGAAAGGTCCCAATATAATTTTATGTCCGACCGGAGGCGGCCATGAAGACGTGGATCGCATCCGAAGCGCGCATCAACACGATCTCGGAACCGCGCTCCTTTATCTGCTAATTACACCGATATGGTTGTGCACGTTACCCCCGTTTCCTGTGGCCAGAACGATTCTTCCTTGTTTCGCGATAGTTAGCATACTGTACACCCTGGCGCACATGGAGATCGGGAATCCGCACCGTTATTGCAAAACAATACTCGCCGTCGTTGAACTTTGCATCCTGATCTGCATGTCCGCCATGATTGTGCTCTGCTACACGGATGCACTCCAAATGCTGCGATAATTTCGAGCGTGTATATTTCTTATGTACGGCTCCTGTTACGTAATCGTGGCCGTTTGATATGATAAGCGAGGTCAATGTAACACGTCCCGCACTTGGAATTACAATGAATGGTAGTTAATGGAGCACCGGGAATGCATATCTGCTGAGAATATTCGTGGACTGTTCCAATTACTAAGATGCATACGATTGCGTAAACAATGCGTTACGTTCAATTAGTATTACTTACCATAAATGCTTTCTAATAAGAATTATACAAGTAATTAAATGCTTTGTAATGAGAATTATACAGGTAATTGAATGCTTTACAACGAGAATTATACGAGTAATTGAATGCAGCGAAACAAATACGCAACTACACTTTTTTGTACGGAAGACAAGCGAGAATCGGATGAATAAATCATCTTCGGATATCTAAAAATGACGTTATGATTGCAAAGCGCATGCCAGCGTCGATAATATGAAACTGCATAGATTCAATTTCGAAGAATGCTATCGCATCAGTGTAACGTGACCAGCAGCGAATACAATCAGCATACTTTCTGCCATACTAATTCTAGCTGCATCGTTTATTGATTGAGGTATGTATAATACACAAAATGTAAAAAACCGTTTATAAAACAAAATTTGCTATTAGAAATGAAGTAGGTTAACAAACGAGTTGATGTTATAATAAGAATACAATATGATAGCAACCGTTTTTTACCAGAAGTATTTCTCCACTTATTGCGATTGTTATGCTCAAGGACTCGTTACAAACCGTTGCAGTTATCACTTTCATGTGCTTGATCGATTGCAATGTTGTGTATAAATCAGATTTCTTTTCATTTCTTTTTATTAAAAGATTACATTTAATTCACTCTTTCATTTAGAATCTACTAGATAATAAAAAAAACGGTAGCAAAAAGGTACATGCAATTATGATGCATAAAGTGCCAATCTTTATGCATTTATGGCACGCGAAGGCTTCTCAAATGCAAAAAAACGTGTAAGTTAACAAAGTCCAGTAGCATTTTTCCTGTTACGATGAGTAATCTTTTAACCGACGAAGCAAGCTTTTCTTTATAATTCTCTCATTCTTTTTTTCTTTAATTGAGATTTTTAAGCGCATTCGCTATGACTTCGGGAACTATACATAGGAACGTTAATGTCAGAAATTTTACTCCGATTACCTAAAAGGTGTCGTTAAAAATTCTAGTTTATTCGAAAAAGCGACCTTTAAAAATATTTAAAACAATTCTTTAAAATACTTATACTTTATAAATTATAAATTTATTATACTTTATAATACTTATACTTTTAAATTCTTTAAAATGTTATGATAATATAATTTAATTGATACACATAAATGCGATATACACACACATACAGAGTGAGCCATCGAGATCTACCACTTAAATTACTCGAGAACCGTTTCTTTCATAGAAAAATGTTTCAAACAAAAGTAGTAGAGTATGGAATTGGACATATGCTGATGTAATTAATTTTTTTCTAAACTGCGTTTTTATCGAGATTTGGTCATTTTTAATTTTTTAAATCGTAATGTACCAAAATTTGTCTCTACCACTGAAAAGAAATAATTAAGTAAAAAACTAAAGGACGATACGGATCCAAAATCCAATACTTGACAATACTACGATATTCTTACATCAATACTCCAATACAACGGAATATGCTCCAATACAAAATTCAACTGTTGTACGTCATTTGTGTTTATTCTACAATATCAACCAATTCCGAAACAACTTTGTTAATATATGTCTGTTGAAATAAAACAAGTCGTCACGAAACTGCAGCATTTCTTATTCAGAAAGAGCTGATGCACGCAAGATCCATTTTATCAGATCACCGTGTACATGCGTACCCACATGGTTCCCAATTCATAATTAGACATGAAAGAAGCCGCGAAAGAAATTAATTGTACTCGTTATTTCGCAGACTGCGTATGCATACGCGTTACACCGCATGGCAGCATCTTCGATTATACTTCCTCGGGTGACGAACACGCATGAAGTATATGTAAAAAGATCGTCGTTTCTAGTATCTTCACTATCATTGTATTTAATCGATAAGTGTTCAGTGTCTATAGATTACAGTACGTCCAGCGAGAGAGTTACGTGTTTAAGGTCAATAATCCATTATAATCTTAAGTCCCGCTGCTCCTTGACGCACACTCTGCCAGGATAAACCGCCTCAGTTGATGACTAACCGGCGCAAAGGAAACTGATTTTTCCATAAATCTGTTCCTCCACAATTTTCGGTGAGTTATTTTTCTAATTTCCAAAGACCACGCTACGGAGAAGTTTTACTATCACGTAGATAACAATGCCTGATTACTATGATGATAAAAAAGCGTTCGATAGCATCGAAATTAAAGTTGAAGTTGAAGAATCACGGTAGCCATTTTGAACGCGCCTCAAAGAATATTTAAAACTGATTCGTTAAAAATGCTCGAAATGTGCGATTAGTTTTGTATATCCTCTGCCACTGAATTTTCTCTTCCATTTCCAAGCGCATCGAATTATTTCAATCATTTTTTTAAATTTAGTTCTCGAGAACAAAAACTTCACGCGCGACATTGATTATTGTATCTGCGAGGAAACTGATTACAATTTATACATTTCTGTCGACGTATCTTTCCTCTCGATAATGCTTAATATGATAATTTATTCGGAGTATGTACACCGTTTGTGAATATGTTGACCACTCAAACCAAACAAGAAACAGTCGCTGACACCGAGAAAACTGGCTCGCCTTCCTCTATAATTCGGGGACCTTGACCCCCATTCGATTCGACTGGTTGCTGGTCGCAAAAATACAAACGTAAAATACATGTTGGTAAAAGATTGTTGTTCTTTTAAAAATAGTAGAAGCTTGGTCGGGAACAACGTACCAGAACGGGAGCGTTTCTGCTCATTTTAATAATAGTTTGCTTCATGTCGACGCAACGGCTCGTGTGCGCGCGGACCGTGGGATGCATGTTCCTATACACGAACATACATGCATGTGACGCGCGATCTGATGCATCCGAGCCAGTGATAAGTGCAGCATCGAAATGGAAAGTGACAATCGCGTGTTCGCCGAGCTGAAACTTTACAAAAGCTCTGTTGACCGGTTTGCTCAATTCGCGCTCGTTTTCGACGGCATGCTATTCTTCGCTATCCTATATTTGTTTGTCTATATAATCGGCCGTCAGATTTAGAGGTTAGGTGACCCTTGGCCTTCCTCCGTCGACGGAGTCCGTCGCAAAGCATAGTAACCAAGCCAAGAAAATTAACAACACAAGCTGAATGACTCTCGTGGCGGAGGTACGCAAAATCGCGTGGGCTCTTTACGGTTTCATCGACTGCCGGATGAAATTCGAAAAATGAAACGTAGAAGTACCACAACGGTGTGATTCAATTTCAGTGTGACGTAATGGAAATCGACGAGGGAATTGTTCGCAAACGGAGCATTCGAAGTTACCTGCAACGTATACCGCAACATATATCGGAGTCTGTCGAACACTTCTTTTACGGGTAAGTGAGAAGCCAATTTTCAGTAATTTCGAAAGTTCCCGCGCTTTTGGACAGTTCGTTTCGAAAAAGCGGACTCTGTTTACACATTTATTTAAAATAATTTCAAATTTAGGTGAAAATATTTAGTGTTTAGAGGTTGGGTTTCTTTCTTTTAAATTGTTAGATACCACGTTAAAATAAAACAATATTCTTAACTCGGATAGACAATATATTTATACTTATCACCTGGTTCGAAGATCCAAAGTTTCCTTGATCCTAATTTTAAAAATCTTAAAATCTACCTTTTATACATAATTATGCATAAAATCCATGAAGCTTTTTAATTATTACTCCTAAGTAGTACTCTTGAATCATTTATGCAATAACGTCTAATTATGTTTAAAGATACCCAGTGGATTTCTTACTTCCATTAATTCTTAAGTAGAACCTGTGAAGCTTCGTTAATGGTGCGCTTAAAATTTGAATCTGATACATAGAAAAATTGTTTCAATCTTGCACTTCTAAAATCTATTTTATCTACAAAAGTATAAGTCTACTTTAGCTACTTTATCACAAAAGATGAAGTAACAAAATGAATAGTTTAGGAAGGGTCGGAACTTTTGAGATTTCACAGAAATGTCGATGAAGTAACTTTCTTCTAGAAGTTAATCCTTTCTGTCCTAGACTTGGGTTAAAGATAGCACGGCGGCCACTGAAATGGCTTATCTGTAGTATCGTGATAGTTTTAATTTCTCTTTCTGGTTTGCACTCCTTTCACCAAGAGAAAAACCCCATGAGACTATGGATTCCACAAGACTCAGACTTTGTTCGGGACACAGATTGGATGATCGATCAGTTTGGGCAAGGCCTGAGACTGGAAAGCATGATTTTAACAGCTGACAATGTGTTACAGCCAGAGATCCTCATAACAGTATTTATATATTTTTCTTGAATATTAGTATAATATTAGTATATATAACATATATAACAATAAGCAAGAAAAATATGTAAATCATTTCAGCTCAATGAGATATTAAAACAAGTGGTCGCTTCACAAACTCCTGACCATATTGCATGGACAGATGTGTGCTTCAAGTAAGAATTTTCTTATACGTGATGTAGTTGTCTAAATTAGAAATTAATATTGTTTTGTTCAATGCATAGAGTACCTGTTATATCAGGTATTGCAAGGAGACCAAAGCGTAATAAGGAGTACGATGATTTTTTTGACATGGAACCCGAGTCACAAATCAATAAAACAACTTTTGAACCTGCGGTTCATGCTGATCCTGAATTATATTGTAATATAGTTAATAATTTGCCAGAAGCTTGCCTTTTAAGTAGTCTAGTGGATATTTGGGACTATGATAGTAATGTTATTCTACAAAAATCTATTGAAGAGATTATAAAGGATGTAAATAGAGCCAAAGTTAGTCCCACCCTAGGGCATCCTATGAATTTCACAAGCTTATTAGGTGGGATAACAAGAGATCAACAAGGTAAAGTCATATCAGCAAGAGCTGTAAAGACACAATGGGCAGTACACATCAATTTTTCAAAAGTGGACATGGATAACTTTGGCAACGATGTTGGAACAGCTGATTGGGTAAGGTAAGTTCATTAAAAGGCCTGAATCATGATGTCTATATAGGAACTGATAAATTTAAATATGTGTTACAATGCCATTTATTAACTTACAACGCTTTCAGAGTGACCTATGTAAGTGTTACTACAGATTTCTAGACTTTTCTTCAATGTAAAAAAGAAAATTATGTTAAAGAAAAAAATGTAACTATATTTATATCAAACTTATATATAGCACAATTTCGATTTATCATAATTTTTTTATCACTGAAATGAAATCCTGAATTTTGTGGTTACACTAGCATGTAACACCCTGTATGATCTAAAGAATTTGAAACTTAAATTTAATTTGATTTGGGCCTTATTTAACATTTCAGATGATTTTGTCAAGATCAGTTTGCATATTTCTTCATTTCAAGTATTGCTTATATTATTTTTAATATATGTCTATTTTACGAAAATTATCACTATACATACTTACACATGATATCTTTGATCTTAGACAGAATCAGTCCTTGTAGTTATTATTATTATCATTTATTTGTTCATATTTACGTGTTTATAGTTTCATATGTGTAAAATAAACAATTTAATAGTAATAAACAATTTAATAAACGAAATTAGGGTGACTTATTTGTAACAAAATTTATGTTGAATCTGTAGGCTACAGATGAAGTTTTCAAATGGGAATCGTCCTATCTGAATATATTGCATAAAAATGCGAAACTGTTGAACAATAAAAAAGATGAAAACCATACCATGGCCATTTGGTATGAAGCTGGTAGAAGTTTCGGGGATGTTACATATGTGACAATGTTTGGACACATGGATATACTGTCCATAGGATTCATTTTGATGTTCTTCTATGTTCTAGTCATATTTTCCGATTACAATTGGGTAGGGTGGCGAGTAAGTTCCTAATTAAACTAATTAGATTTATGTCAAGGTATTCTAAAAGTCAAAGGTGAAATAGAATCAATACTGTCGAATTAAAGGGGCAGTCTTATGCAATATGCTGAAAATTAAACGATTCTTCAATTCTTCTAGGAATTATACAACCAATTGTTTTAGAAATTTTAAAAACCAAATTTTGATAGGAAAACATTTCTTGCTTGAATATGAAATAGTTAAATATTGTTATCATTGTTGAAGATTTAATTTACGAGATAAGTATTTAAGTAGATCTAGTAATTTCGTGAATAATGCATTGAAAATAACTTTTTTAAGTATGTAAATTTTGGCATAAAAATTTGCGAGTTTGTAATTCAAATATTGTACTATCTAATTGTAATAATTTTGCAAACCGATTTTTCGTATCCATTACACAAAACTCCCTTTTGAGCAATCTAATAAAACCTTTGATTTGAAGTTATTTACAATTGGAGAATTTGCTGAAAGCAGTCAGGGTACTGCATATAGAAAACATACTTCTTACAAGGAGAGGTTCCCAGGTGTAATTTGGGCTTTTTTTATCAGATTTTGCACAATGATAGAGCTTCAAAGATTGAAGTTAATGATACCCTCTTTTAGGAATAGACGGTTAATAGCTTCTGAAATTTATATTGTCAAAGTTCGTTTTTTTTCCCTCTGGAAATACACGTGTAACTGATTATTAACATTTATTTATTCACAATATTATTTCATTAAAAATATTTTGGAGGACATAGAAGTGTAGTCAAATTTTGAGTATTTTAATATTCGGATATTTTTGAGACAAGCACCACATGTTCATACATGTTTTCAATTAAAACAAAAATTGACTACAAAATAAGCTACAGTGTTCATGTCAACAATTAATTTTTTTACCAATTTTATTAATTTTAATTGGTACATGTGCATTTTCAACAAAAAAACTTTGACGTTACATATCTCAAAAACTATTAATCGTCTGCCCTTAAAAGTGGTTACCATTAGCTTTAGTATTTGAAGCTCTACCATAGGCTGATCAAAAAGCCAGAGATACACCTGGAAATCTGTCCTTTTTAGCGTTACCGTTTAAAATGTATAATTGTCTGTAGATTTACCTCACGACCGTCGGTCTCCTGTGCGTGGGCGGCGCATTTATAACTTCAATTAGCGTATGTTCAGTACTCGGTATACCTTACGGACCAGTGCACACTTCGTTACCGTTTCTTTTATTGGCTCTGGGAGTAGACGATAACTTTCTGATAATGGCGTCTTGGAAGGAAGTACACGCACACGAGTCGAACAGGAAGAAGCCATTGGAAGAGAGGATAGCTTTAATGTTAGGACACGCAGGGTCAGCGATTACTATTACCTCCCTTACCGACGTTGTTGCATTCGTAATCGGAGCATCGACGGTAAGCTTGTACTATCTACGGTGTTTAACTGATGCTGCACATGAAATTTAACGCTCGATTATACGTTTATCCCTTAGATATTGCCGTCCCTTCAGTCATTTTGTATATACGCAGCAGTCGGTGTGCTATTGACATTTTTACTGCAAATCACGTTCTATGTTGCCTTTTTCACCCTGGACGCTAAACGAATCGAGAATAAGAGGAACTCGATACTCCCTTGGATCGTGCACGAGAACTTCGCTCAGAAGTTCGTTAGCTCGCAAGAGGAGCCTGCTTCCAAGTTCATCACGAAATTGTACACGAACGTGGTCTTAACGTTACCTGGGAAAATACTGATAGTATTAGTGACCATTGCCGCTACATCAGTGGGCGTTATGGGCATATTAGAGCTACAGCAGTGGTTCGACCCAGCTTGGTTCATACCGAGCAGCTCGTATTTAAGCAAGTACTACAACGTGCACCACCGCGAGTATCCCAACCGCGGCTTCGAAGCGATCATTCTCATGGGAGAGTTCAATTACACTGCCGAGTTCCCGAAATTAATGAACCTGACGGAAACGTTTGCTAATTTATCGACGGTGCAGAGCTTGAATCCGTGGCCAAGCGACTTTAGAAACTTCGTCTCTGAGTACTATTTAAAAGGTTGGCAACACACATTTTATGGGCATCGGTATCGAAGAAGGCTAATAAAAAGCATTCTTTTGTTTCTAGATTTGAGGTCCACGACGCTTAACGATACCGAGTTTAACGATTACTTATCGAAGTTTTTATTTAGTCAAAACGGTGGCAAGTATCAGAGAAACATCCGCTTCAAGGGAGAGCTGGAGTGCGGTAAAATTGCACCGCCGATCCTAGCTAGCACCATAGACTTTGTCTTCAAGCGATTCTTCACTCCTCATCAGTGGATCCCGGCGATGGACGAAAGTGTCCAGGTGGCTCGGGATGCTGGGATTGATGGGTTCGTCACTGTTTGGAGCGAAGTGTTCAGCCTCTGGACCACGGACAAATTGATCTCTCAAGAGGTCCTACGCAACGTTTTGCTGGCGTTGATCTGCGTGATGGCAATGACAGCGTTGCTGATCGCCGAGATACAGACTTGCTTCTGGATCTTCTTGTGCGTTCTTCTCACGCTGCTGAATGTCTGCGGGTTCATGTACTTTTGGGGGCTGACGATAGACATCGCATCTTGCATCGGTGAGTGATTTTGACTGGTTTCCAAAATTTATTTAAAATTTATTTCTAAGATGTTTAGGATGCAAGAGAGGACCTAACAGGATAAGTATAGAGAAGCGGTCTCCATGCCATTTTTAATTCTTTTTTGTGTGCTAAATAATGTTTTTGTGTACAATGCAATTTCAGAAAATTTCTGACCCCCGCCCCGCTGTTTAAGGACAATATGGGGTTGGAATGCCATAACTTTCCTTCTTATTTTCTTAGTTATTGCTTAAGATATTTAGATGAAATAAAAGCGAAAATGAAGCTGCAAACTAGCTTTATTTAGGATTTTAACTGTCATTAAAAAATCAGAGACAATGTTCTGCCACGTATCTATTATGCATAAAAGTTTCCAAATAATCAACTTGAATATATTATACATCTTAACATTTTTTGAACAATTTTTTCCTTTTGCGTATTAGTATGCGTGCGCAATCACGCATCATTTTTTCACGAACATCTCGGAATTTAAGCTAGGCATCCCTTTGTGTACAATAATACGCGACAGAACATTATTCCCTGATTTTTTTAACGATCAAAGGGTTGGTTGTAATAACAACCCTTTGAAAATAAATGATTTTTCCTCCAATCTTAATAACTGAATTAATCTCAAAAATATTCAAAATAAAGCTAGTTTACAGCTTCATGTTTGCGTTTATTTCGTATAAATATTTCAAGTAATAACTGAGAGGAAATAAATGATAAAATTTTGGTCTTACAACCCTATAGTACCCTTAAACGAAGGGGTAGAGGTTTGAAATTTTACCGAACTGTATTGTAACCAAAAAATATTATTTGGTGCAAAAAAAGATTGAAAACGGCGCAACTGATTACACATGCCTATACTGCTAGAATCTTTGAATTTTTTAGTTCCAGTTTTGTAAATCAAATTATTTGGATTTTGTAGGAGTTTCTCAGGTTAATTTTTGGCAATTGTGACGCGTTAACATCAGCCAACGGTTGCTAGCGTATTCAGTCGTCTGTTTACTTGCTTAGGTCTCGAGTTGGGCATCGGATTGTGCGTAGATTACGCGGCTCATGTCGCCCACGCGTTCGTGCACGCTGCGTCTGAGACCGGGGGCGAGGATCGCACAAAGAGAGCGCACATTGCCGTGAGATACATAGGTGCAGCAGTTGCTTATGGTGCTGGGTCCACGTTGCTGGCGCTCTCGATGATGGCGTTCTCCGAGAGCTACGTGTTCCACGCGTTCCTCAGAATCTTCGTTCTGGTGATATTGTTTGGCATATGGCACGGATTATTCCTGCTGCCAGTGATACTGAGTACAATCGGCCCGCGAAGCCTGCGATCGTACAAATCGAAGCAGCCTTCGTCGCAGAAGCATGAGGAGGCGATGGACACGGTGACCAGTCCGCTGAACAAAGAGCCGGAAAGTTAAAAAGAATGCACGACCAGATAGTCGATTCTTTATCAATAATATTTATTTTTGGTTCAATAAACATACAAAATTATTACACTATCCGTACTATTAATCACACATTTATACAAAAATAATAATAATAATAAAGATCGGATAACTTAAAAACGGCATTATTTATAATATATATATATATATTTATATTTATCTAATATATTAAGATTAAAAAAAAACAAGTACAAAATAATGTAGCAAGGTTGATATAGATTTTTTTTATTAATAATAATTATTGATCGGAAAGGAACATGACTATCATTAAACGTAACATAAAATCGTGTTTGCTGGATGCGTTTATCTTTTTGTTTTTCTTCATCATCTTTATGTATAATCATAATTAATGTTTATGACGTAAAAACGAGCGGCGAGGGAGCGGCCTCGGATTGATTGGCAAGCTCCCTCCGCTGCCTCTCTCAGTCTTGCACGTCCACAGACACTCATTCTCGGGTCTTCTGCGTTTGTCGGACCCCCCTTTTACATCTCCGGTCCCTCCGGTTCGGTTCCTCGCTGTCGCGATGCGATGCGATGCGTTCCGATGCAATGCGATGCGATGCGATGCGATGCGACGCGACCGTTCAGAATCAAGGTGATTAAAATCCAGGGCGAGACACGCAAGCGGGACAAACGAGAAGACGCCTAAGTTATTCTCTCTCATGCGTACCACGGTCACCCATCGACAGAGGCATCCGACAGAGGCGCACGTTCTCCGGAAACACGATCTCAGCACACACGGTAGAGTAGACTGCCGGGGGCAGCAAGCCACGCACGAACGATACGGCGATACACATCTCCTTACTTAGTTTGAATTTTACAAATTGGGATCGTACATTCCATAATTAATGAGGAACCATCGATACAATAATAATATTTACTTAGCAAAACGTGCCGATCGGTAGTGTGGCGAAGGACGCGTGATGTGTGAGCACAGTTAAACGCGTTACGAAGAAGGGGAGTTGAGGGCGGGGGCAGTTGGGAGTTTCTTCCGATGACGATGATGATAATAATGATGATATTCTGTGGTGGAAGGGGTGATAAGTTGGCGCAAGGAGGACGTTGGTAGATGGGGAGAAGGAGGGTTCTCCTTTTCTTTCCTTTGTTCCGTTGGCTGATAATCGACTGTTAGGCAGGGGACGCAAGGTGAATGTTTTTCTTGTCGAACGATACGGGGGCAGGGAGGGGGTGGGGTGGTGGGAAATGCACGTCCGCTTGCCAGGAGTTCAAGGTACACGCACTTTATAGGGATACACCATGGGAAAGACACTCAGGGCAGACACTGACATAGAGACTAGGCTACCGACTATATGTATACCTATCTAAATGTGTAATTAGCGTACGCACCGCGTACACCCGGTACGCCCGCACTTCGCCCGGCTCTCGGGTTTGCTTTTTTCACATTATTTAATCTTGTGTGTTTGCTGCTTGTTTTTTTGTGTGTGCGTGTATGTGTGTGTGTGTGTGTGTGTTGCGTGTTTCTCATTTCAATCGAAGAAAAACGAGCGCGCGTACGCGATCAGTACACGCACTCCCATCCCTTACTTTTTCCACACGTTTTTCACTATTTTTCTTTCACTCTCGCTTTCCCACTCGCGTTTTACTTTTTCCGCTTTTTTTTTTTTACCATTACCTTTTCCATCCCTCTTTCATTCGTTTCCTCCCCTTTTCTTTGCTTTTCTTTTTTTTTAAATTATTATTATTATCATCGTTTTATTACAATCAGCGATCGCGTCGTTAGTCGTGCTTTTATAGTAAACGCTATGTAGTCTTTATTACTCAAGCTTATGCCCAAAAATCTACCAGAGGCACTTTGGGTTTATTAGTACCATTTTGAAGTCGGCGTGCGCGGGGGAGGGTGCTGCGAGTCCATTACTCCTTCCTCTCGTTTCTTTCTTTTGTTTTTATTATTCGTTTATTATATATACTTTTGTATTGTTTAGTAGTGATATAACGGTCGAACGATGTGAAATTCTGTCTAGTTAGTCCTTCCTCTGCTTTGAACCTCGTGACATGACGGAGTACCCTGTCTGCGATCCATTAACGTTTATCGGCCACGCTCGTTCGCCGCCACGTTTACGCGTCCGCGCTAACTACTACCCTCTTTTTTTCAATCATCATTCGCCCTCCCCCGTTTTCCTTTCCTGTAGCCTACCAACTCCGTATCTTTCCCTGCTGCCTTACCTTTCCACACACGGTCTTCCGATGTTTTTTGAGCAATAAATACTTTCTCCACTGACAACTGCACATTGAATTGACGCACGGGACACACTCACGCGTATACACAAAAACGGTTTTTGTTTTCTCGCATTCGCTACCAGCCGCTCGCGTCGACAGCACCCTCGAAGGTCGCTCGGCCAAGCTGCGTGCCGAGCTGCCCTTCGGCGATATGAATTCTTGTCACGCGTTAGTGATGATCGTTTCAGACTAAATCTACGCGGATACCTAAAATACAATGGCAGTCAATGCGGCGGGAACTCTACGCAGCGAGTTCCGCGGGTGTGCGTTACAAGGGTTTGTCGGTTGGTTTGAACGTAGTCTAAATGAGCTTGGAAGAGAGACACTGACGGTGTACTGTTACACACAGATTCCCGAAAATTCGTATTGCGTTAATTTCATTCGTTTCCATTTCTTTTTTTCGTTGATCCCTTTTGTTTTTTTTTTGTTTTTTTTTTGTTTAAATAGATTACAATGAATACACGAGGGTGGTGGTTGTTAACATTTGCGCGCAGGTAAAACGTCTCCAAGTAGGAAACAGGCTGTTTGTTTTCGAGTACTGTCCGCCCGCGAACGGCTCCCGCATCCACTCTCATCCGCATATCAGCGCTTCGGAACGTTCCCACCCATACCAATATGGCTACATCCACAGAGTTTAAATGTTACGCTTTTTTTTCTTTTTAATTAATGATTATCAATTCATATCAATTCAATATCAATGTATTACAATCAGACAATACTCAACAGTGATCGTTATTCATTATATATTACAATAATTAAGAGTGACAACAACATGACGACGGAGGCGTTGAAGCATTACAAGGGAGAGTAGTGTAGAGAGAAAGAGAAAGAGAAAGAGAGAGAGAGAGAGTGGCACAATCTGTGTTTTTCTAGGATGATCGGAAAGAGTTAGAAGGAGGCGCCGATAGTGGACATATCTTCGACTACATGTAACACGATGAGGGATAGTGACACAAGGATCAAGGGATCAGGATCTTCCGATGATTATGAAACAGCGACAATGTGATAGGGCGAGGAATGATGATAACGATGATGGTGACGCACGACAATGAGAATGAACGTTTAATAATAAAATGGAACAATGAGCTGGAGACCAAGGAGGGGAAGCACGCACACTCAACACAACCGTCACATCGAGCTGGCCTCGCGCGCGGCCATAGTCTATAGATTAATACCTATTAACTAATACACAGTCTGTCTCCGATTCGCGGATGACTCCTTCCATTTTTTATCCGTTTTGAATGCATGTAAGTATAAATAATACGCGTAATGCAAGGCGTACGTACAGTACGGCGATCCCCTGCGCGATCGGTCGAAGGAATGAAGCTGACGTCGGCGCGCACGTTTGATGTACCGAGTGGTAATCTTGTTGACGCAATTAATGATCGCGAGATGTTCCCTTGAAATCGGCAGGACCCCTGTGATAAAACGGTTCGTGTCCGCGCCGATACTGTACGCGCGCTCGTTCCCGGATACTGCATATACATACACACATACTTCTGCGCCGGTATAAAGTGTATATATGTACACATATACATACGACATACCATCCATGTATATATAATATACCCATAATGTTTAATTAATCATCGTTAATCGTTAATTATCTTATTTATTAAAATTCGTCAGTTCGTAATTCAAAAAATTTCAGCTAGTAGCGGTGGATGGAAATGTTTCTTCGTTAAAAATCGCCGATCCCCCGACGATGGCGCGCGGCATTATCGATCGCTTCTTTTTAAACACATTTACAAACAATCGGGATCGACCGGCCGATTCGTTCACTCTCACTTATATCACTAATGTCTATTTTTTTACTTTTTTGCCGTTTGAAATCTTCGTTTCGTGTTTTTAAAACCCTATGTTGTCCACCGACCGATTCGCGGCGTTGATCGCTGCCGCGAAACATTGGCGAAAAAATCCCGTTTCATTCTTTTTTTTTTTCATTTCATTTGCTTTCTTTTATTCTTTCTTTATGGTTGTATATCGTTTATTTATTTGTTGTGTGCCATGGCCGCCGGCCGGTGTGGCCGCCGCACATCAAATAATTCTATTACAATTAATCGTGATTTTGGTATCTTATGTACAGTTATGCGTGGCGTGCGCACTTGATTATCGCCGCACACACCCGCCTGCCAGCGACCATTCAGAAGACTTTTGTTTTTTTCTCTGTTAATTCTCACACGTATTAATCCAAACAACACTTAATGTCTTCCCGTTGAACTTCCCCCGTGAAGCTTCTTTGCTTAGCAGTCCATTGTGCAGTATCTTCCTGTTTGTGTCTGTATGCAATGCGTGTTCGCAAGTGTCCACGACCGTTGACGAGTGTATGTGTACGAGTGTAGGTTTCTGTGGGTGTACCTGTAATTGTGTATTTCATTCGCATACTAAGCGTACAACTGGCTTGCACGGAAAACCTGAGACGATCGATTATAAGATAGGCCAGTCCTCTTGGTGCTTCCTCAAGAATACCTAACTGTGGTCGAGTATTCAGCAGGGTAACTCTTGGCGGGCAGGCTTTGACATGTGCTTCATAGAGTTCATGGTACATCAGGGATTGTCCGCCGCCATTATATTATGCACTTGCTCGAGCTTGTATGCCAGTCTCTGCTTCTGTGAGAATTCGTCCTCTTCCAGTGTCACTATCAGTTGTTCGTTGTATTTACCCGCATACGTGTACAGCTCGTACAGAGCACAATTTGTGTTGAACTCCGTTGTGTGCAACTGCACAGAAACAAACACAAATTTATTATACCAACAAATTCCGCATACATCCTAACGTGTTTGATACATCGCTGGGTGACCTGTCCAATGAATGAACACTTAAGCTGGACGTTTGTTAAAATGATCGTTATTTAATCGCGCGAATGATACTATCTTAAGGCAGTTCTTTTACTACTAACAATAAGTTCCTACATTCCTGAACACAACTCTAGCATATTTAGATAGTTATGAAGGTATTGAACGACCAGTGAACGAACACTCAATCAAGTGTATTTTTACACAATACGGTTTGTTCGAACAGATCACCCGAAATTATTTGCACTTTGAATCATCCCGTATATTCACTTACCCTAGACTCTTCGGCAAGCATGGCGTTCATGTCTTGATCGGATATGGCTGGCATGACTTTGATATCTGAATAGTAACGTTCTACCCATTCTTTGTACACTGGAATGTCCTTTGCGTATAGTAGCTTCGAACTCGGCGAGTCCTTACCTGCGGTAGACAAACAGAAAATAAGATTTCCGACTTGTTCCGCGGACACTAGACGAAGAGAATATTGCCTACCTAATCTATGATCTGAAGTGGAACAGCTGTCCATGAACGTCTGCGCCACGACCGACAGACACGAATCTACGATGTTCGATTTGTGTATGTCGAAAATGAAATTCGGATTCTTAATAAGGTTAACCCAAAACCTAAGCGGAAGGGAGTTGCTCTTCCATGTGTGGACCACTTCGGGGTCGGATATGCCGTGGTGCAGAGCTTGGTCGTCCATGAAGTCGAACATATATTTTATAGCGAGGGGAAGAGCCGAGCCTCGATGGGCGGTGCTGAAGATCGTTTCGAACAGGTCGTCGACGAATTTCTGGAGCGTACCCTTCGTTGCCAGTAACCTCGTCAGATAGATCTCGGAGACCATCTTGTTGCCGCGATCGCCTTCTTTTCGCGCGTCGGAGTCGTGGTGTTTGACGAGATGCCAGCACTTCAGTCCTCCGTCGTGGTTTTGGTTCAACGGCGACGTGGCGCGAGAAAGCGGAGGGCTGGCCGAGCTAAATTTGCTGAGGTTCAAGGTCTCGTATTTGTGCGACTTGTCCGTCTTCTCCGAAAGGATCGACAAGTTGTAGATCGACGACTGCTTGGACACTAGGTTCAACGATGCTCCGTCCGGTACCCTGTAGTGGTTCAAAGTGTTCCGTTTCTTCCATTCGCCCTCCGTCTTCGTTGTCGAGTCCTCGTCGTACAGGATCAATCTTCCGGATGCTCCGGTTCGCCATTCTAACGTACAGAGTGACATTCGTAAATTTGTTTGACATTGAAAACGATCCTTGGTTCAGGAGTCGAGGATCTTACCGAGATCGAGGTCGTCCTTCCTAGGTCTTTGGCTGTATGGCGTGGCTCTGTAGATGGTGTCCAATGCCTTCTCCTTCACTTGAGATATCGTGTCGCAGTCCAGTACCTTCACCGGAACGTTCTCCGTGTTCGGATCCATGCCACCGACAAAAACCGTTTGTTGAGATATGGATACGTAGACCGTCTACAAAAGAAAAAGGGAACAGAGTTCGTACATCGAACGATAGAAAGAAGCGGCATTCTTCGTGCTACGGGGATCTTACCATTGGTTTGAAGTCGATGGATTGTCTGATCAATTTCTCTTCCGACAAGGAATATCTAGCCTCGGAAGTGATGGCGTCCACGGGACCTTTATCAACCTGCTGTTTCACTGCGCGAAATAGCACGTATAACGGTTCACCGGCGCATTCTCGCATGAATTTGTACAAGAGGAAGGTGAACCAAGCTGACAGCATCTTCTCAGCGACGCTCTCCGTTCTGAAACGTAAAAAGAACGTTTATTTGCAACGGTTTTGTAAAATGTCGACCGATCCAGCGATTGATCGGAGTTGCTCGTGAAAAACGTACCGTCTGAGGAACAGCTTAGGATGACTCTTGCCCTCGGTGCACTTCTCGATCAGCTCCGCGAGAAGAGTCTTCAGGATGTCCGTGCAGTACTCCATCTTGCTCTGTAGGGTGACCATAATGAGGCTGGCGACGTTCACTCTGTCCCTCATGGAGAAATATCGGTTGCTCTCGAGCGTTCGCACGAACAGAAGCAAAAACGTTTTGTTCAGTATCAGTTGGCCGAACAGGCGCAGGCCTTTCTCCTTGCGTGCCAGTTCCGGCCGGTCCCATTGCAGCACGGGGCTATTGTCGTCGCTCGGGAACAGTATCATCATGGCGTAAGTGCGATAATCGAGGAACGGTATGCCGCCGCTGGTCAGATCGCCGGTAAGATCGGTCATCTCGGTTTGCAGTTCGGCGAACGCCTCCTTGCACTCGGCGGCGACACGCAGCTCTAGGATGTCCATTTGCTCCTGCATGTTCTTCAGCACTCTGTTGCTCTCGGTCGACTTCCTGCGGTAAGCGATCAGGAAGGCGATGAACACGAACACCAGGATCACGATGGCGGCGATCACGCCGATAAGGGCCGGCTTCGACAGGGGTCCGTCGAGGCTGGCGGGTAACGCGTAGCTTAGTTTCCCTATGCGATAGCGAAGCGTGCCACCGACGGTCACTATCACTTCGGGTAGCTCCTGCTTGTTCGGCAGACCCTCGAAGTCGACGGCGGGCGGCTGAGTCAAGGGTGGCCTGCAGGTCAACTGTTGCCTGGAGAGGGAGGTGACGTTGCAGAACGCGTTGCCTATCTGCACGGTCACGTCGGAGTCCTGGCAGGCGCGATCGAGATAGAGCCCGTTGATGGTCAAGTAGTCGCTCTTGTAGTACTTGATCTCCTCGTCGAACTCCTTGTAGATCGGATTCGGGTAGAGGAGGAACTTCTGGAAACCGCGTTGAGTCAGATTCTGTACACCCGTCACGTTGTCCATGCGGAAACCGTACACCAGCGGTATAGGATTCTCCGCGTCCAGCACGGTGTCCTCGGGCAGCTCGATCGTCGGCGACTTGCAGATCATTCTCTCCTGGCTGTGGACTTCGCACTGTGAGACGAACATCTTCTCGTCGTAGTAAACGTACATCTGGGGACTCTGTATGAACCCGAGGTTCTTCCCGGTCACCGATATCTTGATGCCGCCGGCCGGGATACCCTTAGGGATCTTCACCTGACTCGCCACCCCGCTCTCCACGCTGTCGATCGTCGGATCGTCCACGTACTCGAACGTCGCGCCGTCGTAGAACCTGGAAGCGCCGTCGAATCTCATCTGGACGACGCCCCTTTTCTTCTTGTCGCTCGCGCTGGTCATACACAACGCCTCGTTCGGTTCCGTGCTGATTATGGAACACGAATAGTTGCCGATGAACGCCTCGATCCTGCTGCCGGCGTTCATGTGTCGTCCAGTGATGGTGACCGTGGTGCCGCCGCTGACCGGCCCGTACTGAGGAGATATGGAGTAGATCCGAGGATTCACGAACTCGAAGTTGTTCTTGGATTCGCCGCGGTAAGCCTCGATCTCGACCACCACCGGGCCGCTCCGGGTCTCTTCGATGCCTGGACCGTCTACGCGGCAGACGATCTGCTTCGTTCGCATGTACAGTTCTTCGTACGGCTCGCAACTCATCCCGCCGACCATAACGCCGCGGAAGATGTCCTACAATGAGAAAGCGATGCTTTTTAGTTCCACCATATAATAATATGGAATCGTTTGGCGCCGGAGGGATACAAACGTAATCGTTTAGATCAAGATGTAGAATAGGTGCGATTCAATTCTTCAGGGGCAATATTGGCACGTTGCACCGACCCTGAGAAATCTTTCAAAATTCGCTACACAAAGACAGATTAGATTCAGGTGTGATACACTTTCGCGCACGATGGCTTGCTTGCGAGAATTTGTAGGATAACTGTGAAAAATATCGGATGGTCCGAATTATCATCGGATCGTGGCCACTTTTGTACAGCGTGCAAAGAAAAATGTTATAGTGTTGGAATATCATTTGGCTCAGTCCAAACCATTTTGAAGGATGATTTGTGTCTCAAACGCGTCAAGTCTCGATTGGTGCCATGTCATACTGCATTGGTTCTTCGCGACTTTTTTGCCAAAAACTCGACTCATATCGTTCCGCAACCACCGTATTCGCCTGATTTGGCTCCGTGCGACTTCTGGTTATTCAGCAAACTCAAAAGGCCGATGCGGGGACGCCGTTTTGACACGATTGAGGAGATAAAAACCGAATCTTGAAGGCTATACCGGAAAAAGACTATTCCGACTGTTTCGAGGACTGGAAAAAGCGTCGGAAACAGTGCGTTTTATCGGACGGGGATTACTTTGAAGGGGATGAAATTGATTTGGAAGAATAAATAAAGAATTTACATTTTATAAACAAATTCACCTAACTGTTTGATCACGGTAGTATCTCGTGGAACCGTAACAACGCAACGTTTACTTACATTGAACGTTTTGCCCAAATTGATGCCGCGTATGGTGACGTTGGTGTTGCCTTCCCAGGGACCCATGACCGGTTCGAAGGAGTGTATCACAGGGTTCGGGCAGGTCTGGTTCCTGTTCAGCCAGATCCTGGTGCCCCAGTTGCATTGGCTCATAACTTCGCACTTGTCCGAGCTCTGGCACCAGCCGCAGTCGTACTTGGGCGCGAGGGCCAGGCACATGCCGCAGTTGTCGGCCATGTCGCGGCAACGGAATATCACCAGGTGGATGTTGTGCGGGTTGTCCAAAGGCTTCGAGCCGCCCCAGATCACCGCGAACGGCACGCTGATGTTCGGCGCGCGGGACGTGTACGAAAAGTCAGTCTCCTCGCAGTAGATCGTGTCCCCTAACAAGCGGGCGCCCACGCTCGTTACTCGGCCCTCTATGTTGAACTGACAGACGAACCGGGTCTGCACGATGAATTGCTGGAAAAGAGGCGGGTTTCGCCTAGGTTAGCGTCAATCATCCGACAGGCTTCGCTTCGCTAACCGCAACAATGATTCCCGTGAAAGGGCCGCTAACGATACGCGGCGACGTCGCGGAATTAATGTGACGGCATTAAACGGTATTCGAGGAGCGCTCGCTCACAGATTGATTCCCCCCTTCACATTCTTACCCCGATGATGTGCACTTTGACGCGGATCGCTTGCTTCACGCCAGCCGATACCAGGATCTCTTGCGTGTCGGTCGCGTTCATGGTTGGACAGAAGGCGGGACCGCTTCTGTAGCTTGGACCCATCCTCTGGAAAATGTAATTCCGCATTATGCACGCTGCGCTATCGACAAATTTCACTGTGCAATTTGTACTGGTAGCCTTCTATAGCCGGTCAGAATTCGTTGATTTCATACTTTTACTTAAATCAATTTAAGCTACTCGAAACTACACGGCGCACTGGGATATATCTTAATCATTTTTCCCACCGGCTGTAAAATGCATTCAGCTTGCAAACAAACTTCTTGAACTTCTCTACACTCATTCATCCGGAAAGAACATTTCAACTTTCGCGATTTCCGTTGATTTTGCCATCTGTTTTCTACGTGTTCTTCCTTTCAAGAAGTCCAAGAAGGAAATAATATATTAAAAACGAGCGTTGCTTAAAAAAGAAATCGAAAGATTGCAGTGGAGCCGGTTACTGTGGTGTGACCAATTGCTGCACCTTTGTTGTTATATTTAGGGAGAATTGATTTTATATTTCTCAAATAAGGTATATTACGTTTTTGCACGCTTTCATGTTGTTTAGTTTTGAATANAATTTGTAGGATAACTGTGAAAAATATCGGATGGTCCGAATTATCATCGGATCGTGGCCACTTTTGTACAGCGTGCAAAGAAAAATGTTATAGTGTTGGAATATCATTTGGCTCAGTCCAAACCATTTTGAAGGATGATTTGTGTCTCAAACGCGTCAAGTCTCGATTGGTGCCATGTCATACTGCATTGGTTCTTCGCGACTTTTTTGCCAAAAACTCGACTCATATCGTTCCGCAACCACCGTATTCGCCTGATTTGGCTCCGTGCGACTTCTGGTTATTCAGCAAACTCAAAAGGCCGATGCGGGGACGCCGTTTTGACACGATTGAGGAGATAAAAACCGAATCTTGAAGGCTATACCGGAAAAAGACTATTCCGACTGTTTCGAGGACTGGAAAAAGCGTCGGAAACAGTGCGTTTTATCGGACGGGGATTACTTTGAAGGGGATGAAATTGATTTGGAAGAATAAATAAAGAATTTACATTTTATAAACAAATTCACCTAACTGTTTGATCACGGTAGTATCTCGTGGAACCGTAACAACGCAACGTTTACTTACATTGAACGTTTTGCCCAAATTGATGCCGCGTATGGTGACGTTGGTGTTGCCTTCCCAGGGACCCATGACCGGTTCGAAGGAGTGTATCACAGGGTTCGGGCAGGTCTGGTTCCTGTTCAGCCAGATCCTGGTGCCCCAGTTGCATTGGCTCATAACTTCGCACTTGTCCGAGCTCTGGCACCAGCCGCAGTCGTACTTGGGCGCGAGGGCCAGGCACATGCCGCAGTTGTCGGCCATGTCGCGGCAACGGAATATCACCAGGTGGATGTTGTGCGGGTTGTCCAAAGGCTTCGAGCCGCCCCAGATCACCGCGAACGGCACGCTGATGTTCGGCGCGCGGGACGTGTACGAAAAGTCAGTCTCCTCGCAGTAGATCGTGTCCCCTAACAAGCGGGCGCCCACGCTCGTTACTCGGCCCTCTATGTTGAACTGACAGACGAACCGGGTCTGCACGATGAATTGCTGGAAAAGAGGCGGGTTTCGCCTAGGTTAGCGTCAATCATCCGACAGGCTTCGCTTCGCTAACCGCAACAATGATTCCCGTGAAAGGGCCGCTAACGATACGCGGCGACGTCGCGGAATTAATGTGACGGCATTAAACGGTATTCGAGGAGCGCTCGCTCACAGATTGATTCCCCCCTTCACATTCTTACCCCGATGATGTGCACTTTGACGCGGATCGCTTGCTTCACGCCAGCCGATACCAGGATCTCTTGCGTGTCGGTCGCGTTCATGGTTGGACAGAAGGCGGGACCGCTTCTGTAGCTTGGACCCATCCTCTGGAAAATGTAATTCCGCATTATGCACGCTGCGCTATCGACAAATTTCACTGTGCAATTTGTACTGGTAGCCTTCTATAGCCGGTCAGAATTCGTTGATTTCATACTTTTACTTAAATCAATTTAAGCTACTCGAAACTACACGGCGCACTGGGATATATCTTAATCATTTTTCCCACCGGCTGTAAAATGCATTCAGCTTGCAAACAAACTTCTTGAACTTCTCTACACTCATTCATCCGGAAAGAACATTTCAACTTTCGCGATTTCCGTTGATTTTGCCATCTGTTTTCTACGTGTTCTTCCTTTCAAGAAGTCCAAGAAGGAAATAATATATTAAAAACGAGCGTTGCTTAAAAAAGAAATCGAAAGATTGCAGTGGAGCCGGTTACTGTGGTGTGACCAATTGCTGCACCTTTGTTGTTATATTTAGGGAGAATTGATTTTATATTTCTCAAATAAGGTATATTACGTTTTTGCACGCTTTCATGTTGTTTAGTTTTGAATACAAAAATTGAATATGTCTTATTCGATGAATATAAAGTTAATTATGTCTGAAGACAGATCAAAGACATCACTAGCGTGGCTGCTCTACCCTATCTTGTGAAAAGGCAATTTTTCTTAAGATCCTGAAGCGTCTTAAAAATTATTGGAATTTGAAATTTATAAGAGAATCAATGTTCGCCGATCTCTTCTTGATGCCATTTGAAGTAACTTTTTCCTTAGCGCAAATGAGATCTGTGGCTTCGTTTTCGAGTTATTAACGAAAAATACTGGCCAATGAGAAGTGAGCTCCGCTGGCGCGAGGCGGCCGAGCCAATCAGCAGAACTGGACTCTGTCAGCTCGTTGGCTCGGCCGCCTCGCGCCAGCCGAGCTCGCCCCTCATTGATCAGTGTTTTCCTTTAATAACTCGTTAACGTTGCGTCAGAGAAAACTTTTGTAAAGGAAAAAGTTACTTCAAATGACCCGAGGAACCCCTCACTTCCCGATTTCGAGTAACTTTTAAGCCACTCTGTAGAGAGAGACGCGAGACGGCCCGCGCCAGAAGCAACGAAAAGACAGAAAACAGGACTCACGTTGATTCCGGTGACCAGTATGTCGTTCCGACAGTTTTCAGCGGTGTCGTGGGTGCACCTGTGCGCGTCGACGCACCAGTCGCAGGGGAAACTTGACGAGACGCACTGGGTGCAGGAGCTGTAGGTGTTGCAGTCGAAGAATGTGAAGTTGGTGGCGACTAAGTCCGGTCCGTTGGTCATTCTCACGGAGAGTTTCGCGATGAAATGGTGCTGGCCAGGTGGTATGGGCGGCAGGAGATCGGTCCTCGGCGTGGTGCAGTTCACGCCGAAGGACTTCCGCGAGGCGTTCGTGATCAGGGTTTTGTCCAGGGTCGAGAACGCGCAGAGGAACTGTCCGGGAAGCGTCGGCAGGTTCTCGATGACCAGCTCCAGGGTTCGAGCGGTAGTGCGCTGCAGCAGATCCGGATTGACGTTCGTGATCGCCGTGCATCTGCCGCTTTTGTACGAGATCCAGTACAGAGGGTCCTTCGCTGCGTCCTGGCAGTCTCTGCGCAGGTTGCATTTATTCTCCAGCGAACACCAGCCGCAGTACGGGTCCTTCGCGCCGAGGCACTCCAAGCAGGTCTTGTACACCGAGCATTCCTGCACCTTGACCTTGAACACCGTTTTATTCGTCATCACGTACAGATGCATGAGCTGGGAGTCGAAGAGCAGATCCGCGTTCACCGGTGCCCCTGGATCGATCTCCAGGTCGCCGTACTCCAATCCCATGGTCGAGCTCTCTACCACCACCTGCAACAAAATGGGATCCGTTGTTGAGTGTCTTTTGTCCGATTTCGTAACACTGAGATAATGGTCGATTCTAAAGGAATTCTGAGAGGCCGGAGTCGGGGGCACGGCTGATTTTTCTTCGATCACCGAGGGTGACAGAGGTTATGGTAAATTCTCTCTAATTGATCCTTAGCTTGTACACAGAAATGGACAATCTGGGAAGAGGAGAAACGATTATTCTTCTTCCCAGATTGCCCATTTTTCTTTCCAAGCTGAAACGTCGTCAGCGAGGACGAAGCTTGTCTAAATATTAGGTCTACCGGAAAGTTCTGTCCGTTTAAGAAATGAAAGGAAATAATAGATTTTTCATAAATTTAGTAATATTTATATTGTACAATATAATTTCCGTCGTTACTTATGGCCTCTTGCCAGCGTGATGGCAGTTTGTGAGCAACGTTTTTCAAAAATATATGTCTCAAATGAACATGTGCATACCAATCGAAATTTGCAATGACATTATCGGACAGAACTTTCCGGTAGACCTAATGTATTCCCGCGTTTGCTGTCACTAGATCAGCAAACAAGTCGCATAACATCATGAATCAGGTCGCAGTTCTCTATTTTCTATTGCAATTTTTCTCTTACTTATGGTACGAACACTATTCAGTTTTCTCATTAACTCATCAAGATCGACGTTGCTTGCCGTGCCGTCAAGGATAGCAACGATCAGCCTATAATCCTGTGCGAAATTATTTCTCCTTCTCTGATATTTTTATCTTTTATGCACTGCGCTGTATCCGGAGAGCCTTTACACAATTTGTGCAGGTTGTTTCAAGCATTTTATGGATGATTATACAGGGTGTCCCAGGTTTTAATGTTCAAACTTTGTCAGAAAGAAAAAACTATTTTTTGTTAAGAAAAAAATATTATATTGTAGGCCATATAGAGCTTTATTAAGAAGTTATAACAAAAATTCAGGATAGGAATAGTGATCAACTAAAAAAAAATATAAAAAAATCTTCGATCGATGTCAATCATGTATTGTCAGCAACGGTAAACATTTCGAAATGTATTAATAAACACAGCTTACATAAACACACGGCATGTGCTGATCTATTCAAGCCAATGCTCGCAGTAACAGCAAATTGATTACTATCCTTATTCTGAATTTTTGCTATAACTTCTTAATAAAGCTCTTATATGACCTATCTTTACATAACATTTTATTCTTACTTTGTGCCATAGAATATGCTGACAAAGTTTGAACATTAAAACCTGGGACACCCTGTAGAAATACATACAAGACCGGCACACGAGAGTCCGCACACTGCACAGACATTGCGCCCTTGAGGGATTAATATCAATACGAACGAGTTGCTGGCTAGCGTTAGTTCTCCCCAGCCTCCAACCACCCCAAAATCTAAACAGATCCCAGTAGTTTCGATTGAATCATCGCGCAACAAACCGCAAGATCGTCGCAATGAATCGTCGCTAACGAGCGGCCGTACACATCAGTTTCTTCGGCGGGGGCCAACGTATGGTTTATTCATCGAAACGATGTGCCGCGACCGTTCCTGGCTGTATGAAAAATCAAATATTCACGGCAGGTCCATAGTTGAGCCGCGCGGCTCCGCGGTCCGCTCCGCAGCCCGCTCCGCAGCCAGAAAGACAAACGCACGCCCGCGTTCCGCCATCAGTATTTATTACTTATTAACCGATGATCACCGTTCGTTAACGGGATCCACATTTTTCCGGCGACTCGCGTTTTTCCGCCGTGCCCTGGCTCGCAACGGAATTCGGCGGGCAACGATTAATCCCGGCACGCGGACAGATGGTAGCCGAGATCGAAGCGCGTTGCAAAGCAGAATTTACGGCCGTCATTCCGCGGCGAACGGTGCGCGCTCGCGACGCCGTTTTCGCCGACCGGCTGCGTTCGTTCGGCGCGTTCATTTCCTCGGACTTCACCGCGAACGAGCCTCGTTCGCGGTTCCGCGGTTAAAGCCTCGCAAATTAAATCTCTGCGCCGACGGGGGAACCTTCGCGCCGGTTGCGCGGAGGCAACGATGACGGAGGGTCTCCCGGCCCTTCGTAGTTGGAATTACGTTCGCTTGTCAAATAAAAAGGCCGGGTCCGTCCGCGCGATTCGCGCGGCGAATAACAGTAATCAACCGCGAGGATGATAAACTGGCCTCGCCTAAGAGGTTTTCGGCGGTTGCTCGTTCCCGGCTTGAAAAAGCACCGGGTGCGCTGCGTTTATCGTCGCCGCTCTATGGGCGCAATGAAACGCGGACGCCGCCGCGCCCTCGGAGTTTTCTTTAACCCTTCCGCTACGGGCGGATTCTCCGTCGCGGTACTTCTGCTGAACAGAGCGCTGCGACATCACTGCACGCTACGCGACGGCGATCGTCAGCGGAAGTCGGAAGTTTGAATTGAATGAATTTTCGAACGAAAAAATTTCTCTCCAAAGGGTATTTATAAATAAAGGGTATTTTATAACGTCTTAGCATGCGCTCTTTAATTTACAGTATGAGAGGAAATAACATTATGCAATATAATGCATCTTATGGAAAGCCACTATAGTGGCTCTTAGTATCTAGATGGCACCATATGGAAAGCCACTATAGTCGTCCGTAGTACCTCAGTGGCACCTGTCTCTTATACACATCTAGATGTGTATAAGAGACAGGTCAACAACGGTTATTAATACATTTCGAAATGTATTAATAACCGTTGTTGACCTGTCTCTTATACACATCTAGATGTGTATAAGAGACAGGTCAACAACGGTTATTAATACATTTCGAAATGTATTAATAACCGTTGTTGACCTGTCTCTTATACACATCTAGATGTGTATAAGAGACAGGTCAACAACGGTTATTAATACATTTCGAAATGTATTAATAACCGTTGTTGACCTGTCTCTTATACACATCTAGATGTGTATAAGAGACAGGTCAACAACGGTTATTAATACATTTCGAAATGTATTAATAACCGTTGTTGACCTGTCTCTTATACACATCTAGATGTGTATAAGAGACAGGTCAACAACGGTTATTAATACATTTCGAAATGTATTAATAACCGTTGTTGACCTGTCTCTTATACACATCTAGATGTGTATAAGAGACAGGTCAACAACGGTTATTAATACATTTCGAAATGTATTAATAACCGTTGTTGACCTGTCTCTTATACACATCTAGATGTGTATAAGAGACAGGTCAACAACGGTTATTAATACATTTCGAAATGTATTAATAACCGTTGTTGACCTGTCTCTTATACACATCTAGATGTGTATAAGAGACAGGTCAACAACGGTTATTAATACATTTCGAAATGTATTAATAACCGTTGTTGACCTGTCTCTTATACACATCTAGATGTGTATAAGAGACAGGTCAACAACGGTTATTAATACATTTCGAAATGTATTAATAACCGTTGTTGACCTGTCTCTTATACACATCTAGATGTGTATAAGAGACAGGTCAACAACGGTTATTAATACATTTCGAAATGTATTAATAACCGTTGTTGACCTGTCTCTTATACACATCTAGATGTGTATAAGAGACAGGTCAACAACGGTTATTAATACATTTCGAAATGTATTAATAACCGTTGTTGACCTGTCTCTTATACACATCTAGATGTGTATAAGAGACAGGTCAACAACGGTTATTAATACATTTCGAAATGTATTAATAACCGTTGTTGACCTGTCTCTTATACACATCTAGATGTGTATAAGAGACAGGTCAACAACGGTTATTAATACATTTCGAAATGTATTAATAACCGTTGTTGACCTGTCTCTTATACACATCTAGATGTGTATAAGAGACAGCTATAGTGGTCCGTAGTAGCGAAAGGGTTAAAAAGAGCTGCTTTAGATGGACACTTTGAAACTATTATAGTCTCGTATTCGCGGCGCACCGTTGGCGAATTCCAGGGGCGTCGAGGACGTTTCGTCGATGGTTTCAGAAGAGGAAGTTTCATCGATAATATCAGAGAGTCAATGTAATAACGGTTACTCTCTTCGACTGCGATCTGTTAGCTATACTTTCTGTTGCGGAACGAATGTGATCATTCACGATTACAACCGAGAAGATACCGTGTGCGCTTCTCCAATGTACACAGCGTACTGCAGAGTTAGAGGATCAATTTTCGACGGAAGTTTTGTCATTCATGGTTCCCATGGCTTTTAGCTTCGTAACACAGATTTTGCACCCCGGATTATTCCTTTTGCAGTACGTATTTACCGTTTTGTTCTAGAAATTTGCGAATCCACTTATCTGCAATAAATTTATTTGTAATGAAATACATACTAAATTTTAAACAAAATTTTGTAAATAATTATTGCAGCTCAATTACTCGTAATGAAGTCTGTATCATTTCGTGAAGAAGTATATAAATTCATGTTAAATTTAAACGTTGTAGCAAGACCTGCGAAAGCGTAAATTTTCAGCGCAGAAAGGTGAATGCGATCTACGAAACGATTAATTTGAAGTACAAACACCTGTACATGTTTGAAATTCTCTCGAAATCTTTGCGTTCAATGAGATCTCCTGTTGCCATTGTTATTTTGGAATTACCGTTAAACTACATGTATTCCAGTACATGCTGGGACGAACAGATGCTACAGTACTCTAGAATGTTTACGTTCGTTTCAGCATACTTTGCTATACAGGGTGTCCCAAAGTTATCGTATTTCCGGGAAATGAGATCATTCGAAGTAACTTTTTCCTTAGCGAAAATGCGATTCGAAGTTCTGTGTACGAGTTATCAGCGAAAAACAGTGACCAATGAGAGGCAAGTGCGCGAACTGCAAGGTGGTCGTGCGTGCTGCACGTGGCTTTGGTCGAGGAGCGCGACAGATTCGAGCCGCGTTCGAAGCAACGAACAAGTCACGGAGCGAGGACTTTCCGAATTTTATTACCACGCGACAGTGATATTTTTAAGAAAAACGCTGTTCACCCTTATTTCAGAATGTCTGAACAATATTTAGTAAT